TCTCTCTCTCGTCTCTCTCTCGTCGTCTTTGTTGCATCCGGTTACAGGGCTAAAGGCTCGCCAAGAACCGACCACTTCCCCTCCCCATCCCCATCCCCCATCGTTCCCCGTGTCTGCATACCCCCCCTTCCCCTCGCTTCCCTATCGTCCACCTCCTCCTCGCTCCCCCAATCTGCATACTCTCGCACGCAACGAAGGACGAGCTTCCCCTTCCGATCGAGCAGAGTGGACCGCGAGAGCGACTGTTTGAGAAGTCGCGAGCACGGATTTCTGCTTTGGCGGCTCCTGGCGGCGTCTCTGCCCCTCTGACGCACGTGCACGGTCGTCGGGACCCGCAGCATGACAGCTGGAGGTCTGACGGCGAGAGGGAGACAGAGCGAGAGAGCCGAGGGAGAGGAGGCGGGGAGAGGAGCGAGCGGCCGCGCGACAGCCTCTCGACGGACGACCGAATGAGGGAGGACAAGGGGGCACTGCGATGCATAGAGTACACACAAGACTACACGCCGTCGGACGTCGCACGACGACCACAAGAAGCGAGCCGAGAGCAGGAACTCAGTCCTTCTTGGCGACGGGTAGCTCGCCCCATTCTGCCTGGCCTGGCAGCCGCCCGACCCGCACGTTCTCGTAGTCGTCCGACTCGCCAATGTCGCCCGTCGCGCGCATGCGCTGTTGCGCGAGCAAGGCAGTCACGTCAGTGAGGGGCCTCGATGGCGCGAGAGGAGGAGGGGAAGGAGAGAGAGGGAGGGGGAGAGGGAGAAGGGACGTACGTAGTACTCCTCGCGCACGTCGATCCTGCGCCGGTCCTTGCGCATGCCGAGCTCCTCCTCCTTGCTGACGCTCTGCACCTTGGTGTCGCGGTAGTCGTACCGGGTCTGGGTGAAGTGCGACAGCGCGAACGAGGCGCATACGGTCGTCGCGAGGAAGGGCAGGCCGAAGAAGAGGAAGGGCTGGCGGCGGAGCGAGACGGTGAAGGAGGAGCTGCGGGCGGGACGAGGGAGGGTCAGTGAGAGTGGGGGGAGAGGCTGCTGGTGCGGAGGCGGCGGCGCCGATGGGAGCGGGGAGGGGGGAAGGGGGGAGGAGGAAAGGTCTGCCGCCGCTGTTTCCGCACTGTCCCTGCGCCTTGCGCCTTCTCGGCACCGCACAGTGGAGCGCGATCGTCCGCACGGCGCACTGGGCGCGAGCCGAGGGCGACTCTGCACCGCCCACCGGACGAGGGCGTCGAGGCTGGGGTGGGGGGTGGACGCTGAGAGTGGGACGCACGGGTTGACAGGCTTGGACGCGAAGGGTGGCATGGTGACTGGTGCCCGCTTGAGCGACTAGTGGCGCGCAGGGAGGCGAGAGAGAGGCTCACAGCAGATGAAGCGGTGCAACTGGCCGACGACAGCTCGACGCTTCCCCTCGCAGCTGGCTGGGCTTGCAGCAGGTCCAGCTGTACCAGCATCCCTGTCACAGTACATCCATCGCTCGAAAGAGCCACCTGAGAGCCGAGGCGTCGACGAAGGCCGTGTTGATCTGAGCTTCCGCTCCCTCGCCGGATCCCTTCTGCCTCTCGCCGCTCGCACCGACTACAGCTCGCTCCAGTGCCCGACAGCCCCGGCAATCGACCGCCAGCCACTCGGCTCAGCTCCACTCCCGAGCCGACCGCCAGCCATGCCGAGCGCGAGCACGACCCAGTCGAGCGAGCAGCGCACCCGGCTCCTCGAGCACCTCGTCCACCAGCACTTTGGCTCGGCCGTCGGCGAGGTCGCGAGCATCCTCCTCGCCCGCGGCGCCCTCTCGTTCCCGCAACTCGCCAAGCTCACCGCCCTCCCGCCCGCCCTCGTCCACGCCTCGCTCCTCGTCCTGTCGACCCACACCCTCCTGTTCCACTCGGACACCGAGGTCAACGGCCGCCTCACCGAGCTGTACGAGCTCAACCACGAGGGGATCGAGCGCAGGCTGCGCGGAGGCCTGTACGTCGAGATGGCGAGCGAGTGGGACGGCGGTGCCCAGCTCGCGCCCGTGTGCGACATCCTCTGGCGCGAGGGCATCCTCGTCAAGGAGGACCTCGTCCACGTCGTCCAGGAGGAGCTCCTCAAGGCCCGCGACGACCACGATGCCCTCGCGTTTGCCGACGACCCCAAGGGCAAGAAGCGCTCCCGCGCCCTCGACCAAGGTCCGTTCCCCTCCTCTCCTTTCTTCCTCCCTGTCGACCAAACGCTGACCTAGCGCGAGCACACCCCATAGTCGCAGACACGGCCGACAAGCTCGTCCGCAAGGCGTTCGCCCAGGGCTACCTCAACGTCGTCACGCCCGGCTCGCAGCTGTCGCCCTCGTCGCTCGAGATCAAGTGGGAGGAGGAGCTTCGTGCGACCATCAAGGGTGCGTCCCCCTTCTCTCCCCATCTCTCTTGCGTCGTACAAGCCGTCTCGGCCTCGCGACGGGCGGGGCCGCAGGCATCTCGACTCTCGCCCTGACCCTTTGTCTCCCTGCGCGCAGGCATCCCGTCGGCCAAGGACCTGGCTAACGTCAAGAGGCAGCTGCGCGAGAAGCAGGAGGAGTGGGACGAGGAGGAGCGCGAGCGTGCGCGGGGCAAGGTGCGCCACTCGCCGTCTATCGCTCTCTCGAACCGTCCTCCCTCGTCGTCTCGTCTCGACTGACGCACCGCGTGCCCCCACTCGCAGGGCATGGACGCGGTCGTCGCAGAAGAGTCGGACGACGAGCCCAAGCGCAAGAAGCGCAAGAAGAAGAAGACGACGCAGCCCGACACCGACTCGGAGAACGACGACACGCTCGACTTGCGCAAGGTCGATCCGCCTTTGCCGGTGTGTCCTCCGAACCTCTCTCGTCTCCCGGCTCCGTCACCTCGTTCATGGTCCTGATGAGGCCTCTCCCCGCAGGACGGCGCGTTTTTCAAAATCAACGAGGAGCGCTTCCACATCCGGTGGCGCGCCCAGGTGCGTCCTCGGCCCACAGCTCTGTCGCCCTGGGCGACACCCTCCTGACCCTCGTCGACTTCTCTCGCAGCTGCTCCGGTCGTACGCGCAGGACCTGTACAACTCGCACGTCGCGGCCGTCCTCGGCGTCATCCTCGACCTCGTCAGCTCCGAGACGCAGCTCATGAGCGAGGGCATCTCGCGCGCCGTCTCCTTGCACGAGATCAACACGCGCTTTGACCGGCTCCCGGCGCACCTCAAGCCGGCCCTGTCGCAGACGTTCGCCAAGCACAAGGACGACGGCGCGTGGCCGCCCAAGCGCGACCGCACGTCCGACTACATCCTCGCCATCTGCGAGGTCCTGTCGGGCCAGGACCAGTGGGGCATGACGACGCGCGAGATGTTCCTCCTGCAGCAGGGCGAGGGCTCGCACGCCAAGTGGGCCGTCAACTGGACCCAGCTCGGGCGCGCCATGAAGCGCTCGCTCGTCGAGGCCGTCATCCGCGACAAGCTCGGCGACAGCGCCATCCGGTGCTGGAGGATCATGGAGGCCAAGGGCAAGCTCGACGAGAAGCACGTGCGTCCCCTCGTTCCATTCTTTCCCGCCCTCGCCACGCCCACCTCGCCCGCCGCGCCCGGACTGACCCCTCTTCCACCTTGGTGCATCGCGGCTCACGCAGGTCGCCCGTCTCGCCTTCCTCTCGGTCAAGGAGGCGCGCGAGGTCCTCGGCCGCCTCTCGGCCGCGCAGCTCATCGAGCCGCAGGAGGTTCCGCGCACGGCCGACCGCGCCCCGTCGCGCACCCTGTACCTGTGGTTCGTCGACTTCAACAAGGTCGTCACGTCGCTCATCGGGCACCACTACAAGGCGCTCGCCAACGTGCAGGCGCAGCGGCAGCACCAGCTCGAGCTCCGCCGCGGCCTCGTCGACAAGATGGAGCGCACCGACGTGCGCAAGGACGACTCGCTGTTGACCAAGCGGGACCAGGAGGGCATCGTCGAGCTCGAGCAGACGCTCGAGGCCCTCGCCGTTGCCGAGCAGCGCCTCGACGAGCAGCTCTTTGTCCTGCGCGAGTTCGACCCGGACCCTGCCGCCGTTTAGCTTTTGCCTCTCGCGCGTGCAACGACGCTTCCTCGTCGACTCTCTCTCTCTCTCTCTCCGTTCCGTGTCGCCGGGAGTCTGAGAGAACCTGCTAGAGAACGAGAGTGCGTGGGGAGCAAAACGTCGAGTTGCACTTGCGACAGATCGACAGAAAGACGCAGAGTCGAGATTCAGAATACTGCACGACGGTGGGCATGAGGTTCAGTTCCGAGGATCGCGAAGATGGGGAGAAGAGGGGGAGCGGGACGCACCAAGTCGCATGCCCTGCAGCGCGATGAGGAAGCGCACGCCGGTACGAGCCTCGGCCTCGAGCTCGTTCAGCTCGCGCTCGATGCGCTCGTGCACCGTCTCGTCCACCATCTGGTCCTCCTCCTCCTCGTCCACCTCGTCTACCTCGTCTTCTGCGTCTCCCGCAGGCTCGTGCACCTCGCCCTCGACTGCGAGCGGGCTCTCCTGGCCACTCGAGGTCTCCTCGGCGATGGCGTACGTGCCGAGCTTCTGGACGACGTGCGCCTCGTCTTCCTTGACCGTCCTCGCCGGCGACGCAGTGGAGCTCGGCGCCTTAGGCAGGCTGTGCGGACTGACCGGCGCGCCGGGCGAGTGCGACCGTCGGCCCGTCTCGACGGCGAGCCCGACCGGCGCCGCGTGCGGCGACAGCCTCATCGGGCTCGAGTTGCGCCACGGGTTGCCGACGCCGCCGCTGCCGAGCCCGCCGCCGTTGCCGCCGCTGAAGAAGTGGCCTGGCGTGCTGACGCGCCGGCCGCCGGCGCCCGCGCCGACCGACGCCGCCGTGAGCGAGAACCCGGCAAAGTCGCCGCTGAAGACGCGCGACGCAGGCGACGAGCGCGAGTTGAAGCCGAAGCCGAGCTGCGGCGCCGACGTGCTGAAGAAGGTGGCGGACGACGGTCGGCGGGTCGGGGCGGCCGGGACGGGCGGGCTCATCGAGAGAGGCGGGGCGGATTGAGGCTCATCCCGGACGTAAGATGCGGTTGTCGAGGTCGAGAAGGAGGTCGAGGGTGGAGCTCGGGGCGCATCGAGGGTCGAAGAGCGGGAAGGAGGTTGGGAGCGGCGGGGCTTCGACGAGGACGAGCGCGGTGGGGCCGGGTCCTTGGGCGGCACAGGCGGTGGCGAGTCGGCGCTCGGCGTCGGGAAGGTGAAGATGTCGTCCTTGATGTGCTGGATGACGACTGCGTGTTCGGCGACAAGGTTCGAGCGGGTCAGTCTTTCGGCTCGACGGAACCGACGACCGCATCCTGAAGAGGAACACGCACCGATGACGTCGCGCAGAGGGCTCTTCTCGGCGTCCGACTCGCTCCATCCTGCAGCTATCCGGGCCTGCCGGACAAGGTCGGCGAGGACGACCATCTCCTCGAGGATGAACGGCGGCGAGAAGTGGCCGAACAGCTTGTCCTTGGGCTGCGAAGACTGTTGGCGAGCAAGAGAGTCAGCTAGACGGTCCGTCGAGGAGCGTCGAGAGGGCAGTCGGGGCTCACAGGGTAGCTGCACTCGAGGAACATGACCGAGAGCTTGCCGGCGACAATCTTGGGCGCCGCCGCCTTCCAGATGTCGAGGTTGAAGCCGCGTCGCGAGATCGAGTCTGCGTGCGAGAGAGCGAGAACGTCAGGGACCCGCCCGAGAGGCAGATGCGCGGTCGACGAGGGAGAGGACGAGGACGGACCCGGCTCGACATCGCCAAAGAACAGGAGCTCGCGCCCGCTCTGCTCCTCGCGCACGAAGAACGCCGTCGAGTCGTAGCACTCGCCTTCTGCGCCGCCTGCTGCAGGTGCGGTGCCGACGGCCTGCGGCTTGGGCAGCTCCTTGCCCTTGCGGTGCTTGTGGAAGGCGGACGGGTCGGTGCCGTGCGCGAGGGGAAAGGCGTGGAAGGAGAGCGAGGGCGAGAGAGGCAGCTGCGCGCTCGGCTCGGTGGGGATGCTGCGGAAAGGGGACGAGTCAGTGCGAGAACCCAGGAAAGGCGGCTCGAGCGACTCGAACGCACTTCTTGTAGTGGTAGGCGCGCCCGATCGTCACCGAGTCGTCCCACCCGCCCAACATGGGCCACACACCGCCGTCCATGAGCCGCTCGATGTTGGCGATGGTGCGCCGGATGCCGTACACGGGTCGAGGTGGCGGGCGACAGGCAGCAGACGAGATGATAAGGCCGGCGATGTGGTCGAGGTGGGCGTGCGTGATGGCGAAGCAGCTGCAAGGAGGCGGTGGCGAGATGGATAGTGCATCAGTCCCTGTGCCAAGAGCTCACCAGAGTAAGAGGGAGAGCGAGAGAGAGACGCACCGAACGAGATCCCACACACGGGCCGCCGCCTTTCCGCCTCCTTCTCGCCCGACGACGACGCCTGCTCCTCGCGCGACCGTCTCGACGCTCGCCTTCGTCTCTCCCGCCTCGAACAGCTCGAGCTCGCGCTTGAGCTCGTGCTCGTCGACGCCAATGTCGAGGCCAAAGCCCTCGAACGCGTACGGGTTGCGCTCGACGAGCGACGCGACGGCGCCGATGGTGGACCCGCCTGCAGATAAGAGCCTCGTGTCAGATTGCCGTCGAGCCTCGCAGAGGCAGGGGGGAGATCGAGGGCGCACCTTCTATGCCGGTGCAGCCGTCGGTCCACTTGCTCGCGTACGGCTTGACGAGGAAGCTCGACAGGTTGGTCTCGACGGGCCCGCCGCCGCAGCCCTGCAAGGTGCACGCAAATGAGTCAGCTCTCACGTTCGCGGGCAGGCGCACACTCAGACCAAGTGAGGGAGGACGTGGGACGCACGAGAACGAGCAGCTCGAACGCCGGCAGTTGACCCTCGCGCGACAGCCGCACGTGGCCGCAGTAGTCCTCGACGCGCCTGCGGCACTCTTCTGCAGGGTTGGGCCTCGTGCTGGACCGGCTGCGGTCCCTGTGTGCGTCTGGGTCGCGCGAGCTGGGTGGGCTGGTCGCGCGAGCGGCAGGTGGGGGGACGGCGTCGGTGGGGCGCGCGAGGCGGGGCGCCTGGACTGCACTGGTCGCGGCGGTCATGCGCACGGTGCGTCACAAACCAGTCGAGGGTGTCAGGTGAAAGGTTTGACGAGGGGGAGCGAGCCTGGCAAGGCGAGCGGGGAACTCACCGCTTGGTCTGCTTCCCGGCCGAGGCGCGCGAAGAGGAAAGCTGCTCCTGGCCGGCCCCTTCGAACGAGCCTGCAATGCGGAGTTCCGTCAACGCTAAGACTGATCTGATGCGTGTACAACTGCGCTTCCCGCCTTTTGCCCGCCAAGTCGAGCCACTTGAACCCGGCCGTCGCTGAGGGTTAACGTTCAGAGCGCTCGTGCCGCGCGGTCGCTCTGTGCTCTCCTGCTCTCCGTCTGCTCAGCCCTCGATTGCGGCTGCAGTGCGCTCGAGCTCGGAGAGACACAGAGAACGACGACGAGTGCCCTGAGCGCCGGCCGAGAAGGAACGGCCAAGGTGGCCCTCGGAAAGCGTGGGAAACTCGACAATGAGTGGGCCGCGTCCACGCTCGCAGTACTTGTAGCGCGTCGAGCTTCACCCGCACAGGCACCGGGCACGTGTCGAGAACAGGCCTGGGTACTGTGCACAGTCGGCACGAGAGCGACGGCGGCAAAGGCCGCGCAGAGCGTGCGTGGACCGGCGCAGCACCTCGAGGATGGCGCCGACGGCGAGCAGCGTCGCGATGAGCCGCGCCAGGTCATGGAGAGTAGTGTGCGGACATGCTGCGCAGAGCGTCGCGCCGAGGAGCGTGGCTCGTTGCGCGCTGAGCCGACGAGTACGGCTCGAGAGCAGCCCGCTCTGAGGACACGCCGGAGCAAGCTCGTCCGGCCTCTGTCGCGATGACGCCGCGCAGTGACCGCAGAGGTGCTGATCCTGACGAGCGCGACAGCAGCAAGTCGGGCTCGAGGGCATGCCACTGGTGGTCGAGGGCCGCGAGAGAGGGGCGCGGCGGCGAGTCGCGCCACACCCACGAGCGTCGCGCGGTCGCGGCTGGATCGCGGCCGCCGAAGCGACCACAACAAGCCAAACAAGCTGGATCCCGCCACCGAGCGACGACGAGGCAAGGCGGAGAGCGGCGGTCGAGGGGAGGAGCAGAGGGTTGGCGGACGCGGGCGGCTCGGGGCCGGGTCGTGACAGCGCCGGGGCGAGGGCTGGACGGGCGTGCACAGTAAGCAAGAAGCGCGAGGATCGCGGTAGAGCGAGAGCTGTGTCGTCGAGCGCCGCCGACGCCTGCCGACGCCCGCCAACTGTCTCCTCCCTCTCACCTCCGCTCTCTCGCCAAGGACGACCGCCACCATGCTCGCCCTTGCCTCTTCTTCTCGCGTGAGTCCAAGCCCATGCCCTGCCGCCCTCGCGCTGTCGCCACTCGTCCAACTCGCTGACACTCGCTCCCTCGTCGCAACAGTCGCTCGCCCGCTCGAGCGCTCCCCGCTCCATTGTCGGCTCGTGGGTCGCCCAGCGTGGCCTCGCCACCGCCCAGGACCCGTACGACGTCGTCGTCATCGGTGGCGGTGCGTCCGCCTTTCCCTCGTCCTTCCCTCCTCCTCGTCCACCCGCACGATATCCGCGGCCGCGTGCTCCAGCAGCTCGCAGGTGGGGGGCCGCACGCGCATCAGTACGGCTGGCTGACTCTTTCTGCCCCTCCCACGCCTACGCCTCGCCCGACTCGCGCCCTTCGACCCACTCCTCCCTTCGTCCGCCTCGCGACCCAACCGGCTTACCGCCTCGCCCATTCCCCCACCTCTCTCCCGACCCGCCTCCTGCTCTTCCCGACCGTCTACGCCACCTCGTTCGACGCTATGCGCGTGTCGCTCAACAGGCCCCGGTGGCTACATCGCGGCCATCAAGGCCGCCCAGCTCGGCTTCAAGGTGCGTCTCCCTCACTCTCTCACGGCGAGCGAGGACTGTTGGACGGTCTGACTGACGACGAACATTCGTACGCGCAGACGGCGTGCATCGAGAAGCGCGGCTCGCTCGGCGGCACGTGCCTCAACGTCGGCTGCATCCCGTCCAAGGCCATGCTCAACAACTCGCACATCTACCACCAGACGACCCACGACCTCAAGGCGCGCGGCATTGACGGTGCGTCCCGTTCGCGTCTTTCGACAGTCCAGCGTCTCGCTCGTCGGCGCGAGCCGGCGAACGCAGACGCTGCGGGTCTAGTACTCGAGACCTCACGCTGACATTGTTGCGCCCGCGCGCTCGCCTCGCAGTCGCCGACGTCAAGCTCAACCTGCCCAACATGCTCAAGGCCAAGGACAAGTCGGTCAAGGCCCTGACGGGCGGTGTCGAGTTCCTCCTCAAGAAGAACAAGGTCGACTACATCAAGGGCGCCGCCTCGTTCGCGTCGCCGACCTCGATCGACGTCGCCCTCATCGACGGCGGCAACACGCAGATCGAGACCAAGAACACCATCATCGCGACCGGGTCCGAGGTGACGCCGTTCCCGGGCATTGAGATCGACGAGAAGCAGATCGTGTCGTCGACGGGCGCGCTCGACCTCCAGGAGGTGCCCAAGAAGATGGTCGTCATCGGCGCCGGCGTCATCGGCCTCGAGCTCGGGTCCGTGTGGTCGCGCCTCGGCGCTGAGGTCGAGGTCGTCGAGTTCCTCGGCGCGATTGGCGGCGCCGGCATGGACGGCGAGGTGGCCAAGAACTTCCAGAAGATCCTCGGCAAGCAGGGGCTCAAGTTCAACCTCAACACCAAGGTTCTCGGCGCCCAGAAGAAGGACGGCAAGGTCCACCTCGACGTCGAGGGCGCCAAGAACGGCAAGAAGTCGACCGTGCGTCCCACACTTCCTCCTCCAGCGGTTCTGCTATGTGCGCCTCGCCCTATCTTGTACTCACCCTGCTGCACACCTGCATCGCCTCACAGATCGAGGCCGACGTCGTCCTCGTCGCCATCGGCCGTCGCCCGTACACCGAGGGCCTCAACCTCGACAAGATTGGCGTCGAGGTCGACAACCGCGGCCGCATCGTCATCGACTCGCAGTTCAACACGTCGGTCAAGGGCGTCAAGTGCATCGGCGACGTCACGTTCGGTGCGTCCCGCTGTCCTCGTCGTCGCCCTCCCTCGTCCCCGGACCTTTTACTGACCTTTCCGCCCTTTCTGCAGGCCCTATGCTGGGTTCGTCTCTCTTTCACACGCTCTCTCGCTGCGTGCCGCTGCGGCGGACGAGGTCCTCCCGTCGCCGCGACGCTCGACCCGGTCCCTGACCTTTGTCGCTCCCGTCCGCAGCTCACAAGGCCGAGGACGAGGGTGTTGCCGCTGTCGAGTACATCCAGTCGGGCTTCGGACACGTCAACTACGGTGTACGTCCCTCCTTTCTCCCCGTTCTGCAAAAACCATGACGCCGGTAGCGCGAGAGCGTTGTCGGCCGCCGCCTCGCTCGACCTTTTCAACTTGCGTTCTCGAGCTCACACATGCTGCCTGCCTCGCAGGTCATCCCGAGCGTCGTCTACACCCACCCTGGTGCGTCTCTGCCGTCTTGACACCGGCTCGAAGGCGCACGCGACTGACTTTGCCTCCCTCGCCTCCCCTTCCCTCTCCCGCCTGCAGAGGTCGCGTGGGTCGGCAAGACGGAGGAGGACTGCAAGGCGGAGGGTATCGAGTACAAGGTAGGCAACTCTCTTTCTCTCTCGATTCGGCGAGGCCGGGAGACCGGCGGCGGGGCCGATTGCGCTCGTTCGCCCTCGTTTACGCCTCGGAGGCTACGGTCTTCCGCTCGAGCGAGTGCGACGATGAACAGGCACTGACTCGGTCGTCCTCCCCCTCCCTAGGTCGGCAACTTCCCGATGGTCGCCAACTCGCGGTGCGTTCCCTCTCTCTGTCTCGACTCGACGGAGCCGGGAGACGGGCGGCGGGGCCGGTTGCGCTAGTTTGCCCTCGTTACGCCTCGGCAGATGCCCAGTCTCTCTCGCCTGCCTCTATACGGTCTTCTGCTCGAGCGAGTGTGACGAACAACAGGCACTGACCCAGTCGTCCTCCCCCTCGCTACCCTCGTCCTCGTCCCGTCCCTCTTCTGTCGCCTGTGCACTGCCCGTCGCGCGCACCTGTCCACTCGCAGTGCCAAGACCAACAACGACACGGACGGGTTCGTCAAGGTGATCGCCGAGAAGCACACCGACAAGGTGCGCCTGTCCTCGTCTTCCCCTGTCACCGTCGCCCTCCTCGAGCGAGGCCCTGACCCTCTTGCCCCGGTTTGCGCCACCTCGCCCGCAGATTCTCGGTGCCCACATCATTGCGTCGGCGGCAGGTGACATGATGTGCGTCCTCCTGCCTCGTCGTGCCTCACTGCGCCACGGCGTTAGCTGACATTCCGTTCCTCCCCACCTCGCCCTCCTCTTTTCCTTCTTCTCCCCACTTCGTGCCCTTTTCGCTCATCGACACCTTCCGCGTCGCTCTCTCTCTCTTGCAGTCACGAGGCGGCGGTCGCGCTCGAGTACGGCGCGTCGGCAGAGGACGTCGCACGCACGTGCCACGCGCACCCGACGGTCTCGGAGGCGGTCAAGGTGCGTCCTCCTTTCCCCTTCTCTCTCCTCCTCTCCCCCCGTCTGGTCGTGATTCTAGCTCACCTCTGTTTCCCCCTCTGTTTCCCTTGCGTGTGTTCAGGAGGCGTTCCTGATGGCGAGCAGCGGCAAGGGTGCGTCCACCTCTCCCGTTTCTCCCCTTTTCCCGACTCAACCATTCCTGCGCACTGACACCCACCTTTTTCCGCAGCCCTCAACGCCTAAGCGCCACACGCACCTTCGCCCCCGCATGAGTTAGACGGCCGCCCGCGCTTTCCGGAGGGACGGCCCGGAGGAGGGAGGGAGGTTGATTCGTCCTGCAAAGCTGTACCTGTTCCTCACGCTTCTGTTCCTTCGTTCTTGGCTCAGGTGCGAGAGAGAGGCGCAGGAGCGAGAGGGAGGCGCAGGAGCGAGAGAAAGAGGAGAGGTCACGTGTCCGGAACAGGATCCGGTCAGGCACAACTGCCGGCGAGCTTGACGCGCGGCTTAGCAGCGCCCAACATACGCCAGCTTCTGTCTGATGCAGCAACTAAGGCGAGATAGTATAATGGCTAGTACACTCGGTTCTGACTTACTCTGCTTCCGAGCAATCTGGGTTCGATCCCCAGTCACGCCTTACCCTTTTGCCTCCCGAGCCAATCCCCGCTATCTGTCTGCTCTTTTGCCCGCTGTGCGCGCGCGACGACAACGTATCTGACCTTGCCATTGCGCGCAGCCGCCTCTGCACAAGAACGAGGAGGGCAAGGACAACGACTCGTTCTGGGAGATCAGGGCCATGCTCACCAAGCGACGTGCCGCGCAAGCGCAGAGCCGAGGCGCACAGTCTCTCTCGCAGGTCGCGACAGCGCGCTGTCTATGAGCGACGTCGGTAGACGCTCCCGTGTTGGCCGCCGCCGTTCCGCACTGGTCTAGCAATGCACGCTTTTGTGTACATCCTCCTGCAACTGCCTGCTTCTCTTGCAAGTTTTTCTGAGAGTGCAGACATTGACAAGGCTTGTTCTCAGCCAAGGAAGGGGCGTGCACAAGCAAAGGTTGGCAACCTTCCCAAGTTGACGTCCCTGCTCGATATCGACCTTTTCAGGCTTGTCAGCGCCAAGTGGCGGGCCAGCTGCGTGCGAGTCTCTCAGCTTGACGCTGTGACCGTCAGGCGAGAGCAGCAGCAACAGTATTGAGAGCGAGGAAGCGAACGAAGCGCGACTCTGCCCTCGACTGCCGTCGAGCATGGCGTCGTCCGGCCCCTGCGGTCCGAGACGTCGTGCACGCGCAGCTCTCTGCGGACCCTGCTCGAGCGCGCAAGGCCCGCAGCTGCTTTCAAGGCAAGAGGGAGTCGCCGGCGCGCTCCCGAAGCAAGAAGGGCGTCGACAAGGCGCAGGAGGGAGAGCAAGACGCAGCCCGCCCGTTCGAACCTGTTCCTTCTCTGTCTGCTCTGTCGCAATCGTTCCGACGACGAGCCGACCCGGCGCTGCTCAAACGGCTAGCTGCCGCTTTCTCGCGAGCGGCGGCTCTCCGCTGGGGAAGGCCCGCTCGGACCGCTCTCTCGCGTGATCTGTCCTCTCTCAGTGATTTCGCTTGCTATCTTGCCTCCAGTCAGCTCAGAGAAGCTCGGTGTAGGCGCGGTGTGGCCCAAGAGCAAGGACGAGCGACCGAGTCCGACAAAGGTTTTGAGGGGGCCGAGGAGGTCAGGGCACAAGGAGCAGATGATCGGCCGTTTTGCCTATGCTCCTGGTCCGTCATAGAGCGCGCTCAGTTTCAGTCTCCGACGGCTTAGCTGTACAGGACAACGGAGGCTGACAGCCATGGTGTACGCTACGAGGTTGCAGGTACGCGCTCGGCCATCACGAGCAGCTCGGTTGATCTAGTTGGTTATGATGTGGACCTAATATCTCTTGCGTAACAAGTCCAATGTCGGCGGTTCGATCCCGCCACTGAGCAGCAGCATTGCACACTGTGCGGTTCTTACCTTTTGCCGATCGAGGTGGACGCAAGCAATTGCGGCCTCCCTCACTGTCATCTTGCAGCTTGCGGTAGCGCTGGCCATTGCTGCTATCTGCTCTTCTGTGTGGCAAGGTTCAGCAAAGGCTCACCCCGAGCCCTGGGCGAGAACGGGCAGTGAGCAGGTTGACCTTCTCAAGTGCTCCCAGTGTGCTCCGTGATCGGCACTCGGTGGAAAGCACGGTATCGCAGGGAGGACAGGGGCTGCAGCGACGCTCTCACGAGACCTCAGGCGAGAGAGGGAGAGATAGGTTGCAGCGAGAGAGAGCTACGCAGGGGGAGGAGGAGGAGCGGCCCGCCGGCCTCGGCCGCCGGCGGCGGCCCTCGGCCCTCCGGGCACACCACTTGGCACAGGGAATAAAACAATAGTATACCTTGATGGTAATGGAGCCAGACCTGGGCCAGTGCTTCGGTAGCATCCTCAGCCAGACCAAGCCTCTTGGCCCCGCTCGGACCCAACCCGTCTGCGCGCACAGCTCCATGAGGAACGGGGCTACTGACCTACCGCTTGGCACAGGGACCATACAACAGTATACCTTGATGGTAATGGAGCCAGATTTGGGCCAGTGCATCAGTAGCATCCTCAGCCAGACCAAGCCTCTTGGCCCCACTCGGACCCAACCCGTCTGCGCGCACAGCTCCATGAGGAACAGGGCTACTGACCTACCGCTTGGCGCAGGGACCATGCGATAGTATACCTTGATGGCACTGGAGACATATCTGGGCCAGTGCACCTGTAGCATCCTCAGGCAGACCAAGCGTCTTGGCCCCATTCGGACCCAACCCGTCTGCACGCACAGCTCCATGAGGAACAGGGCAACTGACCTACCGCTTGGCACAGGGACCACACAATAGTATACCTTGATGTTAATGGAGCCATATCTGGGCCAGTGCACCTGTAGCATCCTCAGGCAGACCAAGCGTCTTGGCCCCATTCGGACCCAACCTGTCTGCGCGCACACCGCCATGAGGAACAGGGCAACTGACCTACCGCTTGGCACAGGGACCATATGATAGTATACCGTGATGGTAATGGAGCCAGACTTCCGAAATTACATCAGTAGCGTGCTCTGCAGCCCATCCCCCTGAGGCCGCACCTTCTTCTTCCTTCCAGCCGGCCGTGACACGGTCAGATTGGGCTGCCCTTGCAGGGCAGAATAGAGTACGATGCGCTCTAAATGGTTAGCTAGGTTAGATGTTGAACAGACCTTGTGGCCCAGCTCTGCAGCCCATCCCCCTGAGCCTGCACCTTCTTTTTCCTTCCAGCCGGCCGTGACGTGGTCGGATTGGGCCGCCCTTGCAGGGCAGGATAGAGTAACGTGCGCTCTAAATGGTTAGCTAGGTTAGAGGTTGAACAGACCTTGTGGCCCAGCTCGGCAGAGGCAAACCTGTTCCTGGCAAGCCCCACCCTCTCGGACCCAAACCGTTTGCACGCGCAGCTCTATGAGGCAGAGGTCTCCCAGCCTACCGCTCAGCACAGGGACCATTGAACAGTATACCTTGATGGTAATGGAGCCAGATTTGCGATATTGCATCGGTAGCATGCTCAGCGGGACCATCCCCCCGAGGCTGCACCTTCTTTTTCCTTCCAGCCGGCCGTGGTGCGGACGGATTGGGCTGCCCTTGCAGGGCAGAATAGAGTACAATACGCCCTGAATGGTTAGCTAGGTTAGAGGTTGAACAGACCTTGTGGCCCAGCTCGGCAGAGGCAAACCTGTTCCTGGCAAGCCCCACCCTCTCGGACCCAAACCTTTTGCACGCGCAGCTCTATGAGGCAGAGGTCTCCCAGCCTACTGCTCAGCAAAGGGACTATTGAACAGTATACCTTGATGGTAATGGAGCCAGATTTGCGATATTGCATCAGTAGCATGCTCAGCGGGACCATCCCCCCGAGGCTGCACCTTCTTTTTCCTTCCAGCCGGCCGTGGTGCGGTCGGATTGGGCTGCCCTTGCAGGGCAGAATAGAGTACGATACGCTATAAATGGTTAGCTAGGTTAGAGGTTGAACAGACCTTGTGGCCCAGCTCGGCAGAGGCAAACCTGTTCCTGGCAAGCCCCACCCTCTCGGACCCAAACCGTTTGCACGCGCAGCTCTATGAGGCAGAGGTCTCCCAGCCTACCGCTCAGCAAAGGGACCATTGAACAGTATACCTTGATGGTAATGGAGCCAGATTTGCGATATTGCATCGGTAGCATGCTCAGCGGGACCATCCCCCCGAGGCTGCACCTTCTTTTTCCTTCCAGCCGGCCGTGGTGCGGTCGGATTGGGCTGCCCTTGCAGGGCAGAATAGAGTACGATACGCTCTAAATGGTTAGCTAGGTTAGAGGTTGAACGGACCTTGTGGCCCAGCTCGGCAGAGGCAAACCTGTTCCTGGCAAGCCCCACCCTCTCGGACCCAAACCATTTGCACGCGCAGCTCTATGAGGCAGAGGTCTCCCAGCCTACCGCTCAGCAAAGGGACCATTGAACAGTATACCTTGATGGATATGGAGCCAGATTTGCGATATTGCATTGGTAGCATCCCCAGGCGGCGGCGCTCCACCCCTCGTCACCGAGGCCCACCTCCGGGCAACCCGCTCGCCTCCAGATCCGCCATCTCGCGCGTGAGCTGAAGGAGACGCACCCGATGATGACGGTCATCGTCTCTTGGGTGCCGGGCCACGCCGAGGTCGAGGGCAACGAGCGGGCTGACGCCCAGGCCAAGGTCGGGGCCGAGGTGGTTGAGGGCAAGGGCGGTGTGGGCGAGGGGCGGCAGCAGGGCCGCAAGCCGCGGCGGCACAGCATGGTGATGCCGCGTGGGGGCTCAGTCGAGCCGTCAGACGACGAGCGCGACGAGTGGTACGGGGGAGAGAGGGAGACGAGCCCCCAGGCCGAGTCGAACCAGCCCCCTCGGCCTTGCCTCCCCGCCCTCGTCAACCCTCCTGACGGCCTCGAGGACCTCCGCAGCGAGCCCAAGAGCATCGCGGCGGTCCAGCAGGCCTTCCACCAGGCGCAGCAGGCGGCGTGGGCGGCGAGTTGGGCGACGGCGCCCGCCGGCGCGGGACTTCGCAGCGTCACCGGCAAGGTCGCGCCTGGCGCCTCCTTCGCCCGGTACCACGCCACGCTCTCGCGCCGGCAGAGCACGCTGCTTGCCAGGCTGCGGCTCGACTTTGCCGGCCTCGCGGCGCACCTGCACCGCATCCAGCGCCACCCGACCGGCCTGTGCGAGTGCGGCGAGGAGGAGACTCGGGCCCACTTCCTCCTCGCCTGCCCCCTCTACGCCGCGCCTCGTGCTGCGCTCGTGCGTGCGACCGGCAAGGACGCCATGCCACCCCTCGCCACCCTCCTCACCGACCTCGCCCTCGCCCGCCCCGTCCTCAAGTTCGTCAACGACACCGGGCGGTTCCCTCGGCTGCACGAGGCGGTCAAGGACTCGGCGGGCACGGTCAAGCAGGGCGTCTAGGTGGACCTGAGGGACTCGGTGGACGCGTGGGAGGACTGGGGAGGGGATTCCTCGTGCGCCCGACCGTTCATCTCTATCCGCTGCCCTCCTCCTCCTCCTCCTTGCCAAACCTCATCCGCCAACCTCGCGACAACTCCGTCATTTCTCGGTCTTTTTCTTTCATTCTTCTTTCTTTCGACTCGTTATACCCTCCTCTACATCCCTGTACACCTTTCCGCCAACCTCGACATCGACTCGACCACCTCCCCCCCCCTCTTCCCGGCGGTGGGTACCTGGACGGGCCTTCCTCACGGGCGTGCGCATCCACTCGCTGCCTGCCGTCGCAGCGCGGCCCTGGGCAAGCCATACCCTCGGCGGCCGCAGCTGAGCGATGTCGTACGCCCTCAGGTCCGTCCTCAGCTTCTTCCTTGCCGCCATCTCGGCGGCGGACCTCCCCTCTCGCCCGCGTGTTTGCCGCTTGCCGCCCGCCTGCGCGTCAACCCTGGGCCAGTTGACCCGCACGCGGCTGCCGCAGCGCAACGCCGGTGCAGCTGGGCAAGGTGAAGAGCCTGACCTCCTCCTCGTCGGCGCCCTTTCGGGTGTCGGCTTGGGGAACCGCCACAACTCGCCCATTTCGACCTCGTTTTCCGCCGTTCTTCTTTCTATCGACTCGACACACCTTCCTTTACTACCCTGTACGCCTAGCGCAACCCTCCTTGACTTTTTCTTTGTCGTCATCGACACTTCCCTCCTTTCTTCGATACCTCCCTCATTTCTTGACCTCTCACGTTCTTTTTGAGCTTGTTTAGCACCTCTCCTCCCCCTCCACACCCTCCTCCACCTTCCTCCCCTTGGGCAGCGGGTAGCTGACCGGTCGACATGGGTCTGTAGAAGGCCTCAGGCGACTTGAAATGGAATCTCTCTCTCTCTCTCTATGAGGCAGAGGTCTCCCAGCCTACCGCTCAGCACAGGGACCATTGAACAGTATACCTTGATGGTAATGGAGCCAGATTTGCGATATTGCATCAGTAGCATGCTCAGCGGGACCATCCCCCCGAGGCTGCACCTTCTTTTTCCTTCCAGCCGGCCGTGGTGCGGTCGGATTGGGCTGCCCTTGCAGGGCAGAATAGAGTACAATACGCCCTAAATGGTTAGCTAGGTTAGAGGTTGAACGGACCTTGTGGCCCAGCTTGGCAGAGGCAAGCCTGTTCCTGGCAAGCCCCACCCTCTCGGACCCAAACCGTTTGCACGCGCAGCTCTATGAGGCAGAGGTCTCCCAGCCTACCGCTCAGCACAGGGACCATTGAACAGTATACCTTGATGGTAATGGAGCCAGATTTGCGATATTGCATCGGTAGCATGCTCAGCGGGACCATCCCCCCGAGGCTGCAGCTTCTTTTTCCTTCCAGCCGGCCGTGGTGCGGTCGGATTGGGCTGCCCTTGCAGGGCAGAATAGAGTACAACACGCCCTAAATGGTTAGCTAGGTTAGAGGTTGAACAGACCTTGTGGCCCAGCTTGGCAGAGGCAAGCCTGTTCCTGGCAAGCCCCACCCTCTCGGACCCAAACCGTTTGCACGCGCAGCTCTATGAGGCAGAGGTCTCCCAGCCTACCGCTCAGCACAGGGACCATTGAACAGTATACCTTGATGGTAATGGAGCCAGATTTGCGATATTGCATCAGTAGCATGCTCAGCGGGACCATCCCCCCGAGGCTGCACCTTCTTTTTCCTTCCAGCTGGCCGTGGTGCGGTCGGATTGGGCTGCCCTTGCAGGGCAGAATAGAGTACAATACGCTCTAAATGGTTAGCTAGGTTAGAGGTTGAACGGACCTTGTGGCCCAGCTTGGCAGAGGCAAACCTGTTCCTGGCAAGCCCCACCCTCTCGGACCCAAACCGTTTGCACGCGCAGCTCTATGAGGCAGAGGTCTCCCAGCCTACCGCTCAGCACAGGGACCATTGAACAGTATACCTTGATGGTAATGGAGCCAGATTTGCGATATTGCATCGGTAGCATGCTCAGCGGGACCATCCCCCCGAGGCTGCACCTTCTTTTTCCTTCCAGCTGGCCGTGGTGCGGTCGGATTGGGCTGCCCTTGCAGGGCAGAATAGAGTACAATACGCTCTAAATGGTTAGCTAGGTTAGAGGTTGAACGGACCTTGTGGCCCAGCTTGGCAGAGGCAAACCTGCTCCTGGCAAGCCCCACCCTCTCGGACCCAAACCGTTTGCACGCGCAGCTCTATGAGGCAGAGGTCTCCCAGCCTACCGCTCAGCACAGGGACCATTGAACAGTATACCTTGATGGTAATGGAGCCAGATTTGCGATATTGGATCAGTAGCTTGCTCAGCGGGACCATCCCCCCGAGGCTGCACCTTCTTCTTCCTTCCAGCTGGCCGTGGTGCGGTCGGATTGGGCTGCCCTTGCAGGGCAGAATAGAGTACGATACGCTCTAAATGGTTAGCTGGGTTAGAGGTTGAACAGACCTTGTGGCCCAGCTCTCCAGAGGCAAACCTGTTCCTGGCAAGCCCCACCCTCTCGGACCCAAACCGTTTGCACGCGCAGCTCTATGAGGCAGAGGTCTCCCAGCCTACCGCTCAGCACAGGGACCATTGAACAGTATACCTTGATGGTAATGGAGCCAGATTTGCGATATTGCATCAGTAGCATGCTCAGCGGGACCATCCCCCCGAGGCTGCACCTTCTTTTTCCTTCCAGCCGGCCGTGGTGCGGTCGGATTGGGCTGCCCTTGCAGGGCAGAATAGAGTACGATACGCCCTAAATGGTTAGCTAGGTTAGAGGTTGAACGGACCTTGTGGCCCAGCTTGGCAGAGGCAAACCTGTTCCTGGCAAGCCCCACCCTCTCGGACCCAAACCGTTTGCACGCGCAGCTCTATGAGGCAGAGGTCTCCCAGCCTACCGCTCAGCACAGGGACCATTGAACAGTATACCTTGATGGTAATGGAGCCAGATTTGCGATATTGCATCGGTAGCATGCTCAGCGGGACCATCCCCCCGAGGCTGCACCTTCTTTTTCCTTCCAGCCGGCCGTGGTGCGGTCGGATTGGGCTGCCCTTGCAGGGCAGAATAGAGTACGATGCGCTATAAATGGTTAGCTAGGTTAGAGGTTGAACAGACCTTGTGGCCCAGCTCGGCAGAGGCAAACCTGTTCCTGGCAAGCCCCACCCTCTCGGACCCAAACCGTTTGCACGCGCAGCTCTATGAGGCAGAGGTCTCCCAGCCTACCGCTCAGCACAGGGACCATTGAACAGTATACCTTGATGGTAATGGAGCCAGATTTGCGATATTGCATCAGTAGCATGCTCAGCGGGACCATCCCCCCGAGGCTGCACCTTCTTTTTCCTTCCAGCCGGCCGTGGTGCGGTCGGATTGGGCTGCCCTTGCAGGGCAGAATAGAGTACAATACGCCCTAAATGGTTAGCTAGGTTAGAGGTTGAACGGACCTTGTGGCCCAGCTTGGCAGAGGCAAACCTGTTCCTGGCAAGCCCCACCCTCTCGGACCCAAACCGTTTGCACGCGCAGCTCTATGAGGCAGAGGTCTCCCAGCCTACCGCTCAGCACAGGGACCATTGAACAGTATACCTTGATGGTAATGGAGCCAGATTTGCGATATTGCATCAGTAGCATGCTCAGCGGGACCATCCCCCCGAGGCTGCACCTTCTTTTTCCTTCCAGCCGGCCGTGGTGCGGTCGGATTGGGCTGCCCTTGCAGGGCAGAATAGAGTACGATACGCCCTAAATGGTTAGCTAGGTTAGAGGTTGAACGGACCTTGTGGCCCAGCTTGGCAGAGGCAAACCTGTTCCTGGCAAGCCCCACCCTCTCGGACCCAAACCGTTTGCACGCGCAGCTCTATGAGGCAGAGGTCTCCCAGCCTACCGCTCAGCACAGGGACCATTGAACAGTATACCTTGATGGTAATGGAGCCAGATTTGCGATATTGCATCAGTAGCATGCTCAGCGGGACCATCCCCCCGAGGCTGCACCTTCTTTTTCCTTCCAGCCGGCCGTGGTGCGGTCGGATTGGGCTGCCCTTGCAGGGCAGAATAGAGTACGATGCCGCTATAAATGGTTAGCTAGGTTAGAGGTTGAACAGACCTTGTGGCCCAGCTCGGCAGAGGCAAACCTGTTCCTGGCAAGCCCCACCCTCTCGGACCCAAACCGTTTGCACGCGCAGCTCTATGAGGCAGAGGTCTCCCAGCCTACCGCTCAGCAAAGGGACCATTGAACAGTATACCTTGATGGTAATGGAGCCAGATTTGCGATATTGCATCGGTAGCATGCTCAGCGGGACCATCCCCCCGAGGCTGCAGCTTCTTTTTCCTTCCAGCCGGCCGTGGTGCGGTCGGATTGGGCTGCCCTTGCAGGGCAGAATAGAGTACGATACGCCCTAAATGGTTAGCTAGGTTAGAGGTTGAACAGACCTTGTGGCCCAGCTCTCCAGAGGCAAACCTGTTCCTGGCAAGCCCCACCCTCTCGGACCCAAACCGTTTGCACGCGCAGCTCTATGAGGCAGAGGTCTCCCAGCCTACCGCTCAGCACAGGGACCATTGAACAGTATACCTTGATGGTAATGGAGCCAGATTTGCGATATTGCATCAGTAGCATGCTCAGCGGGACCATCCCCCCGAGGCTGCACCTTCTTTTTCCTTCCAGCCGGCCGTGGTGCGGTCGGATTGGGCTGCCCTTGCAGGGCAGAATAGAGTACGATACGCCCTAAATGGTTAGCTAGGTTAGAGGTTGAACGGACCTTGTGGCCCAGCTTGGCAGAGGCAAACCTGTTCCTGGCAAGCCCCACCCTCTCGGACCCAAACCGTTTGCACGCGCAGCTCTATGAGGCAGAGGTCTCCCAGCCTACCGCTCAGCACAGGGACCATTGAACAGTATACCTTGATGGTAATGGAGCCAGATTTGCGATATTGCATCGGTAGCATGCTCAGCGGGACCATCCCCCCGAGGCTGCACCTTCTTTTTCCTTCCAGCCGGCCGTGGTGCGGTCGGATTGGGCTGCCCTTGCAGGGCAGAATAGAGTACGATGCGCTATAAATGGTTAGCTAGGTTAGAGGTTGAACAGACCTTGTGGCCCAGCTCGGCAGAGGCAAACCTGTTCCTGGCAAGCCCCACCCTCTCGGACCCAAACCGTTTGCACGCGCAGCTCTATGAGGCAGAGGTCTCCCAGCCTACCGCTCAGCAAAGGGACCATTGAACAGTATACCTTGATGGTAATGGAGCCAGATTTGCGATATTGCATCGGTAGCATGCTCAGCGGGACCATCCCCCCGAGGCTGCAGCTTCTTTTTCCTTCCAGCCGGCCGTGGTGCGGTCGGATTGGGCTGCCCTTGCAGGGCAGAATAGAGTACGATACGCCCTAAATGGTTAGCTAGGTTAGAGGTTGAACAGACCTTGTGGCCCAGCTCTCCAGAGGCAAACCTGTTCCTGGCAAGCCCCACCCTCTCGGACCCAAACCGTTTGCACGCGCAGCTCTATGAGGCAGAGGTCTCCCAGCCTACCGCTCAGCAAAGGGACCATTTAGTAGTATACCTTGATGGTAATGAAGCCAAATTTGCGAAATTACATCAGTAGCATGCTCAGCAGGACCATCCCCCCGAGGCTGCACCTTCTTTTTCCTTCCAGCCGGCCGTGACACAGTCAGATTGGGGGGCCCTTGCAGGGCAGAACAGTGTACAATGCGCTCTAAATGGTTGGCTAGGTTAGAGATTGAACGAACCTTGTGGCCCAGCTCTGCAGCCCATCCCCCTGAGGCCGCACCTTCTTCTTCCTTCCAGCCGCCCGTGACACAGTCAGATTGGGCTGCCCTTGCAGGGCAGAACAGATTACAATGCGCTCTCAATGGTTGGCTAGGTTAGAGGTTGAACGGACCTTGTGGCCCAGCTCTGCAGCCCATCCCCCTGAGGCTGCA